TTGTAAAGATACTGTATAGAGGGGTTACAGTTATATGAATAAGTGAGTACATTTCCTATTGAGCATGCTACCCCCTCCTTTGTTTTTCCCCTACCATCCCTTCCTTCCCCTTCTCCCCAACTCTTCCCTCCCACCGTCCAAAGTTGTAAAGTTCGTTGTCAATATGGTGTCTTGTACAACTCATTGTTACAATGGGTCAACCTGGATCCTTATTTCAGCATGTTGTTATTTTCCTTTCCCTCCCCAAATTAGAAAAAAATGTATATAAAAGATGCAGGGCACCGGAATCAAATACAATGAAAACAGGGGTTATACCATGATATCCCAGTCTTTTAGATCTAATTTCTCCAGATCAGAGAAAACATGTGCTATTTGTCTCTCTGAGCTTGGATTACCTCAGTTAGCATGATTTGTTCTAGTTCCATCTATTTCCCTGCAAATGACACTTTTAAATAATATTTTATTTTATCATAAAGGTGATATACAGAGGGGTTACAGTTATATGAGTAATGAGTACATTTCTTGTTCAACAGTGTTACCACCTCCATCATTTTCTCCCACTTTCCCTCCTCCCCAGACTCCCCTTTACCCCCAAGTTGTAAAGTTCATTTCCAACAGAGTGTCTTGTATTGCTGTTGCACCCCATTGTCCTTTGTTTCATCATTTTGTAATTCCCCTTCCCTTCCCTAAATCAGATAAACATATGTATATGACATAGGGTACCAAAAAAAACCCAACAACAATGATAACAGAAGAAAAATCAAAATGGAAGAAACAAGAAAATAGAAATAACTTCACATAGTACATTAAAAAAAAAAGAAAAACTCATGTGTCCATATCTTGGAGTTTGTTTCAATTAGCATCATTTATATGGTCATATGTACACAGCTATTGAGCTATGGTGATCCTCTGCTTGGACTATCCTAGATGTATTATTACAAATGAGGGAAACCATGGAGCTTTAGGTCTGGCTTACTTCACATAGTATGATTTTTTCCAAGTCTTTCCATTTCCTTATGAATGGGGTGATGTCATTCTTTCTGATGGAAGCATAGAATCCCATTGTGTATACATACCATAGTTTCTTGATCCATTCCTCTACTGAGGGGCATCTGGGTTGGTTCCATATCTTAGCTATGGTAAATAATACTGTAATGAATGTAGTTGTGCTGGTAGCTTTAGTGTGGCCTTGTTTGTGATCATTTGTGTAAAGGCCCAGGAGTGAGATTGCTGTATCATAAGGGATTAGTCATTTGGGGAACTTCCATACTGATTTCCAGTTGAACCACTTTGCATTCCCACCAACAGTGTAGTAGCATTCCCTTTTGGCCACCAACATCTGTTACGATTAGATTTCTTGATAATGGTCATTCTAACCGGGGTGAGGTGGAATCCAAATATAACTTTGATTTGCATTTCTTTTTAAAAAATTATTTATTTTTGTCAGTCATAGGGCTTGAACTCTGGGCCTGAGTGTTGTCCCTGAACTCTTCAGTTCATAGTGCTACTTCAGGTTTTCTGGTGGAGATGAGTTTCTCAGGCAGGCAGTTGTTTCTTTAAGTCTTTAGCCCACCCCAAGATAGAGACACAAAAGATTTTATCTTTCTTGCTGTTCTTTTTAATGTATTTATAATTTACTATGTGATTTTTGTTTGTTTGTTTATTTGTATCTTCTTTCCCCACAGTATAACCCCTGTATTTGATTCCAGTGTCCTGCATCTTGTATATACAGTTTTCTAATCTGGGGAATGGGAAGGGAAATAACAAAATGCTGAAATAAGGATACAGGATGACCCATTGTAACAACAAGATGTACAAGACACTATGGTGAAAACCAACTTTATAACTTTGCAGGGAGTTGGGGGGGAAGGAGGAGTTGGAGAGGAAAGGGATGGTAAGGGAAAAACAAAGAAGGGGATAACAATGTTTGACAGGAAACAGACTCATTACCTTGCTCATATAATTGTAACCCCTCTGTACAGTATCTTTACAATAAAAACATATATTTTAAAAAAGAAAAAAGTTTCACAGGACTTTCTTGCCCCAGATAGCTTTGAACTGCGATGTTCAGATCTCAGCCTCCTGAGTAGCTAGGATTACAGGCAGAGCCACTAGTGCCAGGCTACGATTTGCATTTCTTTTATGGAAAGAGATGTGTCTATTGGCTATTCTTATTTCATTTCAAGTAAAGTTTCCTTTTAATTCTTTAGCACGTTTATTAATGGGGTGGTCGTTTTTATGGAGGATTTGTTATTGGAAAGTTTCATTTTTTGAGCTTTAGATATATTTTTGATTTGAGACTCTTTTCTGTTATATAGCTAGTAAAGATCTTCTCCCAATCTGTGAGCTTTCTATTTCTTTTTCTAGCTATGCAAATGACATTTTTCACTTGTTCTAATGGCTGTATAAATTTCCATTGTGTAGCGTTAACATAATATTTTTTGGATCCACTCAACTACTGTGAGGCATCTGAACTGTTTACACATCTAGGCTATTGTGAATAGTGGGACAATGACATGGATGTGCAGGTGTCTTTATCATACTTTGGCTCATGATGTTCAGGGTAGAGACCTAGGAGTAGTATGGCTGGGTCATAGAGAATCCATGTTTAGTTTTTCGAGAACCCTCCAGACTGCTATCCAAAGAGTTTGTACTAGTTCACATTCCCACTAGTAGGGAACTAGGGTTCATTTTTCCCCATTTGTTGTTCAGATTCACAATGTTGGCCAGACTAATTGGGGTGATATGGATCTCAGAGTGGTTTTGATTTCCATTTCCTTTATGGCCAACAACAAATAGCCAAAGCAATTCTAGGCAAAAGAAAGTAATGCAGGTGGTATCACAATACTACATAGCTGTAATAACAAAAACAGTGATCAATGGACAGATTAGAAGACCCATTAAAAAAACTACTTACAGTTATCTGATATTTGATAAAGGAGTCAAAGAAATACAGTGGAAAAAATAGGGTCTTCAATAGTTGGTATTGGGAAAACTAGCATCCAAATGCAGAAAACTAAAAGTGGATACCTGTTTGTCACCATGCACTAATATCAATTCAAAGTGGATCAAAGATCTCACCATTGGACCTGAAACTGAAATTATTGCGAGAGAGAGCATGAGAAATATTAGAACTTACAAGTATTGGAAGAAACTTCTTGAAAAGAGTTCCAAGAGATAGAAGAGAGACTTGACAAGTGGGATTACATCAAAATAAAAAGTTTCTGCACAGAGCAAGACATAGTTACTAAACTGGAAAGACAGCCAACAGATTGGGAGATCTTTACCAACAAGACATCAGACAAAGGCTTAATATCTAAAATATACAAGGAGCTCAAGAAGCTAACCCTTCCCAAATCTAATAACTGAATCACTAAATGAGCCAGGAAGCTAAGGAGAGACTTCTCAGAAGAAGTAAGAATGGCAAAGAAGTGTATAATTACAGTAAAGTGTAAACATAGTAGCTCCTATAGCAGGTCTTTGATGATCTCTCTTGCTTGGAACAGGTAGAGTGCCCACTACATGTCTGCTACATCAATTGATGGTGACTACTGCATACGGATGAAAGAACTCTAAACGTTAAATCCTAGTATCTGCCTTTGCATTATGAGCTTGGTCTCAGAACTTAACTTGTAGTAACAGTAAAGATGCCATTATACAGGCTACTCAAATTGTAGTCTCCTCTCTCTCTAAGATGTATCTTTCCCTTTGGTAAGATCTGTCCTGAAACTGCACACACTGCTCTCAAAAATCAAGGAAGGCATAGTATAACGTTACCCCAGCAGCAGAACTGCATCAGGATGCCCCCAATCTCTTTTGTCTTATTCTCTCTTTGCTTCTTTTTCTTTCTTTTCTTCTATTTCTTTTTTTCTTTCTTTCCCTCTCTTCTTCTTTCCCTCCCTCCCTTCCTTCCTTTCTTCCTTTTATTTTCTTTCTCTCTTTCCTGGCCTTGGTGCTATTCTTCAGCTTTTTTGTTCAAAGTAGCACTCTACCACCACTTGAACCACAATTCCATGAGTCTCATGGGCTTTCCTGCTCAGGCTGAATTTGAACTGTAATCCTCAAATCTCAGCCAGCCTCCTGAGTAGCTAGGACTATAGACCTAAGCCACTAGGGCTCCCTTCTTTGTTTTTCTTAATAGCTATCCAACAAATCCCCCCATATCTTCTGAACCAGCTGACCTTTCTGGTAGGAATGAACTTTCCCAGACTGCTAAATGCGATGTAAATTCAGATGAGCTATTTCAACAACTGCTTCTCTCTAGTAAGAAAAATGGTCCCATTGTTTCCTAATAATTATACCTCTAGGGTGGGATTTTTCCAGGCGGAAGACCTGAAGTGTTCATCTGAGAAAGACCTGGATTTCTGGCAACTCATCTTACTTAAGATTTCAGACCATTTTCCTCACTAACTACAGATAAAAAAGAAAAGAAGGTTGGCAGAGATGAAGGTTGTTTTGGACCACGGCAATCCCCAGGGAAGAGGTCCTGAACTTCTGCTTATCTAACAGCCACAGTCTCCTCAAGTATTGATTTGTTTTCACTCACAAGTTGGACAAATACTTGCATTGTCTGTCAGAACTTATCCAATCTGCTGGGTTCTGTGTGAACTTCCCTTTCATAATCCTATGAAAGGCTAAACTATTTCTGGGGACCTGAATGCCAGGCTTGTTTCACCTAAATGTACTTGCATTGTAAACAATATTTCTCAAAAATTATCTACACACATCTTAATCAGTATGGCTGATGTGTGACACCAGCATAATCAATATCAATATCATGTCACGATGCAGACAAGCAGTAGAATTAAGTAAATATTCATGTATTTGGCTACAGAGGAGTCTGTCAACCTAAAAAGATAATGACATTTCATATATCTGTCAGTTTAAAAACATTCCCTGTGAAAGGCTGATATACTGGCTTCCTTTCTAAACTGACCACAGTATACACCACAATAGAGCCCAGTGATTTAAGGGCAAAACATTTTCAAATACAAACTTACCCACTATGTTTCATATGTGGTGGTTTATCCATTCGGACTGCCAGTTTGATTTTTAAGTCATTGTCTTGACTATTTTTGGGCACAATCATTTGGTGTAATTCAGCTGTCTTGGAGCTATTGGAAGTTGGGTTTAGTATTACCTGTAAGGGACAAAAAAGAAACATTTGAGTGTATGATACAGAGTCTGTGAATTACAAAGGGAATTATTCCTGCATGTTTTCCTAGTTGAAAAGAAGATGCCACAGCCCAAATGTGTCTTATAAACCACTGGACTCCCACCCACAATAGCAGATGGATTTTCAATACAGTTTTATTTATTTTTGACAAGTGTGTGCTTTCACATTATCACATAATGAGTTTTCTTCCTGTGTCACTTCATAATAAATTAATAGCACAACAAGCAACAGTTGAATTGACAGTTGAAAAATACTTCATGGGCACCTATAATTTCAAGGCTATGCTAAACTCCTCAGGCTAAAGAAGTCCAGAAAGAAACACTATTTGAAATTACAGATAACATGCTTAAGAAGCAAAACTAATTATCAAAGCTCTACAAATTTCATATTTTAATCTTTTCACTGTAAAACAGTATTAAAAGATATCAACTCAATTACAAATGGAAAAGAACGATTATAGCACATTTCCTGATCTAGATCAATACCCAGTAAAGACTACATTTCTGAGTAATATGTTTTCAGAACTATCAAAATGATATTATAATGACTGAAACAAAGTAATTATTTTTCATAAAACTGCCAACTTGCTAAGTGATCAATTCATAACACTTCATTTTACAAAGCCAACTAAGGAAAGAAAAAGCCTGTTTTTAGATGTTAGGTGCTGCATAGGAAAAGTGAAACAATATATTATCCTTTTCTATTTAGCCTTGACATCTTTTAAACACAGCCCTAGCTAAGCCTTAATGGACATTTTAAAAATGGAAGCACTATAAGCCTAGAAGTCAAAACAAAGACATGGAGAACAGCACTTTATAATTTATGCCATTCTTGTCTTACACCAGCAAGAAAAGTATGTCAATTTGAAGTAAAGATATGAATGAGAGACTTAGAAATGTGCTAAGGTATACCGGAATGTTCTAAAATTGACAAGGCAGCTGAATTTATTATGCCTTTAACCTTCCAAAGATCTTTATTTCCCTATATTCAGAACAACAACAATAATAACAACAACAAAAACCGGGTCCTCTTTCTTTCTAGGAAAAGCAACCTGATTAGAAAATCCCAAACTATTCTGTGTATGAGTGTTAAACGTATCTACCATTTCAAGATTTTCTTCTAGCCTGTTCTAAAACCACAACTTTGATGAGCCCAGCATATCTACACACCCAAGTATAATAAGGGACATGAAAGAAGAGACTCAATGGCATTTACTGTGATTTAAAAATTATAGTCACACTCTAGAAATAAGTCATTTTGACTACTAAACTATCTAGTGGAATATTGCACAGATTCTTTCTTAAATGACACTAAAAACCTCCCACAGTTTTTGGCTTAAATCTTACACAAAAGAATGTTATCATCAACTTATAAGGAGACTCAATCAATCAATTAATATTCAAAGACTAACAGATCTACACATTCTCCACAACTGTACAGCAAGTATAGCAACTTAGAACACCTTTTCCTTCTCTCTACCCATCTTCTTCAAAACTTGGTATTTGAGCAAAAGCCACCTACAGACTACATTCACTTACAAATCTTTCTATGCTTATATAAAATTGGAATGGTTCCAACTCTAAAAGTCTTATACAAGAAGAGCACATTAAAAAATTTTGACAAGGGCTGGGAAGGTGGCTCAGTGGTAGAGCACTTGCCTTGCATGCATGAGGCCCTAGGTTCGATTCCTCAGCACCACATAAGCAGAAAAAAAAAAGCCGGAAGTGGCGCTGTGGCTCAAGCGGTAGAGTGCTAGCCTTGAGCTGAAGAGCTGAGGGACAGCGCCCAGGCCCAGAGTTCAGGCCCCACAACCCGACCCCCCAAATTTTTTTTTGACAATTTCTTTTTTGTAAATTTTATTTTATTGTAAAGATTTTATACAGAGGGGTTACAGTTACATGAGTGAGGTATGAGTACACTTCTTGTCGAGCATTGCTACCCTCTCCTTTGTTTTTCTCCTACTATCCCTTCCCCCTTGTTCTCTAAGTGCTGACCACAGGTTACCCAATGGGGTTGCCTCCAAAGTACAAGCTCATGCTACTACTGAGTGTTATCATTTCTGCCATGTTTCATTTTTCTGATGGGCAATTTGGAATGAAGTCAGTGGAAGGGTTTATTTTTCTGTTCTTTTCCACTACATAAACATCTGAGTACTTCTTATATGGATGCACATCAGAATGAAAGAATATGCATGGCTGAGACTCCCTCATAGCCTTTTATCTTCATAACTTTCTGCTCTGGTATTAGCACTTCTTTCCACTGTCCTTCTATGCTTGAGATACAAAAGCAATTCCTGATTTTGATAGTTTGGAGCTCCATATGGCTTCTCTGTTCTGTCATAAGTATGTCTAGTTGCCTGTGTTAAACTCACTCCATTTTGAAAGACTTTTGTTTTCCTGGACAGACTTGACTTAGAAACATATGTTGAATACAGCCTTAAAAATGGTCTGTAAAATAGTCTTGAGATTCCCAAATTGCACAAGCAGAAAAGGGGAACACATCATTGTGTGTTCTAATCGTGGATGATATTAGACAAGGAAGAATTCTCCACATGAAGAACTTAATCATTTGACTGCATGCTTCCTATGGGATAATGTACAAGAAACACACACATATATATGTATATATAAACATTTTTTCAAACAGGTTATCTGAAATCTTCCCTTTTGATCCAATTCCAGCATAAACTTTCCATTTCCCCATCAGGCCACCCCTTAGCAAGCTATATCTTTATCCTTCCTGCCTTTGCCCTAGAGACTACAGGACAAGGATGTTCTTTTCTGAAAACACAACAGAGGTCTAATCGAGGGACCCTGAACATTTTCAGGGGGGAGATCCTTTCACGATGCCCACATGACAGGATTTCATTGTTGTCACTGGTAAATCACTGTGCATGCTTCCCATTTTCCTGTTTTTCAAATGGGAAAGCTTTCTCTGCTTCAATCGATGTTGCTTTACTGGATTTGTGCGAGGGCTGGATAGAGAGGGGGCCTGCAATAATTCACATGGAGCACAAACTTCAGTTCCTAAGTTATTCAGCTGGGACGAACCACAGCTAAGTGTGATAGAAATGTTGGACTAGATGGAAGGATGAGAGAGGACTTGGGGCTGCTTCCCTCGAGCAGAGATGAAAGTGTTCTATGGAAAGGATGAAGGGCAACAAAACTATGTCACAGCTGAAGGCTGAGCCAGGGCAGGTCAAGTAGTTGTCCATTGGACTCAAGTTTTTACTAGCATAGAGCTGTCGTTAGTAAGTGGCTGATTAGCTGAAGATTGTTTCCTGGCTCCTCCCCACTCTAAGGAGTGACGTGTGAACATTCTGCCAAAGGTATGTGAGATACGGCATGAGTCACTCTGGGGAAAAGTGATTAAGATATTTATCCTTCATCTTTCTTTGCTCCTATGTCAGGCAAAAGCAGAGAAAACAAATGCCACAGGAAGTTAAAGAGACATACAATGGAAGAAAGAAGAACTCTGAGTCTCCACATGGAGGAAGAAGGCCATTCTCCCTTTAGAACACCCATAGTCAACTGCTCTACAGGATATACTGTTTTGAACTACTGAAATGGGGTGACTTCCTTGTTACAGCATTTAGCAGAGTTTCAATTAGAATATTAAGGCACTACCTTGCTCCTTAAGTCTTTCACTAGTAAATAAGGACCTAAAGAACTGTTTTTTTATGATAAGAAGTTCTACTTCTTATCATATTTCACATACAATGAGGTTTTTGCCTGGTGTTGATGATCAGAATAATCGAAATGTTTACTAGGAAAACACTTGCAAAATCCTCCTATAGCCAAGGTTTATGCCTAAACTAAATTGTAGCTCCATACAAAACAGTTCACTTCTTACATTATTTAGAAAACTACTTGGTTCTTTGCTATTTATTCCTCTTAACCTTTATACATTTCTGCTTCTAGCTTATTTTTGTCACCAACACTTTAAATGTCTTGTCAGTTAGTATGACACAAAAATTTTTACAATTCCTTATTTTAAATATAAAGTAAATGCATCTTTTTCATAATAAAATGGCAACATTTCTTGAAATCCTTGCTAAGATGCAGTTAAAAACACAAAATCATTTTTAGACTTTGTTTTAAAGAATACTTAGAAGACAAAATGATATAATTTGTGTGTATATATACACATATATGTGTATATATATATGCACACAAACAAATATATATATACAGATATGTTAAGTGTAGTATGGCGCTCAGAAGGATCTTCCTCTTAATGTACTTCTATAAATTGGCATCTGTAAGCTGCTTTTCTTCTAGTGAGATACCTTGAGTATAGTTGTTTGTATTCCACATCTAAATTTTTTGACCAACAAATTTATAATTGAAAGCTCCCCAACTCTTTTTGAATTAACAACTAAAAATCGAAAGCAAGAAAGTACAATGAGGAGAAAGTTAAAAGCAGAGCATGTAGGTAAACAATTAACTGCTTTTCCCCACAATTTCTTCATAAAGGAGCAACTTTCATTTGGAGATCTAAAGGGATAATATTTACATGGCAGACACAAGAGGTCCTAAAACAGACATAAGGACTGTTGGGAGTAAATACCTTCCAGTGCATCTGATGCTGACATTGCTACTACCCACCACCCCAGATTCACAGGTCCTTCCACAACTTGGTTGTTCTGGTCCAGCTTGGTTGTAACCTGGACTGGTTTCCATGGCTTACCACCAAGAGAACTTCCATCAATATAAACAGTCATTACATCAAAAAATTTGTTTTTGCTATGTAATTTCTCTTCAAGTCCTAAAAGCTAAGGTGACAATTCTCATGACATCAATTTCCGGTCCACAATTGGGATCAGAAGCCAAAGAGGTAAAAGAAAACCAGAAGAGTATGATGTACCCAGGTCCTAAGAGAAGAGTTTCCAGGAATATGAAGTGGACCGCAGGACCAAATGCCGTTCTGGAGTGGACACACTATCAGAATTGAGAGGCTGCTGC